ATATATATATAAATTCAGAACCACATAACAAATCAAATCTTAGCAGCAGATTTTACTTGCTGTTTATTAGGCCATTTTGCAAACTACCTTTTGTTACTTTTGCTCCCTTAATGTAGCAGTTAAGTCTGAGTTAAAGAGCACCTGATCTTGCCAAAAAAAGAGGCCTACCTTTGTTGAAGGTGGCTGGGCAACAGGTTTAACACAATGGTCAAAATCCCCAGAAAGAGCATCAATGGCTGCTGAGTCACTGTCTGGCTTCTGAAATAAGAATAATTATTTTAAAGAACAGCAAAAATTTCCAAGATCATTGTATGAGATAAGCTCTAAACCAAAATCAGAAATTAGTTTCAAAATCCATTTGTGAGTTTCAAACATTTGGTACAAAACATGCAGAGAATGAAACAAGGACTATCAAAATGTAGAAATATTTTCAAGTGCCACAGGTCTTTCTTATTAAAATTAAAACCATCCTTCTCTTTAATGGTCACCACTGGGTCCTACTCCTTGAAGTTTTTCACTGGTACATAGGGTTAATTGATATGAAACAGCAAACAAACAGCTGGGAACAAAAGCCCACCAAGCTGCAGCAGCAGAAGTAATAAAAGTACTCCGATATCACTACCAGAGCTAGCTCTATTTTGTTTCTAATTCATTATTGTCATAAGAATCCTGCATTATTTTAAGAATTTTATTGGTTTCTTGACCTACATTTTCTATAGCTAAACCACCCAGGATCACCTAGATGAGATGGATAGTGTAGAAATTTAAATAAATAAAATAAGAAAGAAGTTCTTTCCAATATTAAATATAGAAGCTATCTTATTTCTCATTGGTCTTATACAAACTAATCAAGACACCTTTTCTTCTGAACAGTATTAAAATTGATGCTACATTAATGCTACATTTAGGGATTTATATCCATCATTTTGGTCCTAGAGGTAGATTCATATTTCAATAAACTAAGCCAATCTATCGACAAGCAAGCACAGCATAGAATTGAAAGTAATACTTCCTTACCGTTTGTTCTTTGGGTTTCTCACCATCTTTATCTTTTGGCTTTATAGGTTTACCCTTTGACAAAGATAAACATAATTAAATATCAGTTTCATTCACCAACCTATTTAAGTCTAATCTAGTCATCTATTTTAAATAATCTAGAATGCTTGTTAGATTGTTCAGCTTTTCCTAATTCTGTTTGTTCAAGACTACCTGTATGTTGAAACTTTAAAAGTTTTATTGTATTTATGGAAAACCATACCGCCAGTAAAAAATCTCCATCACTGGAGATTTTCAAGAAAAGATTGGACAGTCATTTGTCCTGAATGATATAAAGATTCCTGCCTTGGGCAGAGGACTGGACTAGAAGACCCATAAGGTGTTTTTTCCAGTCGTATGTTTGCATATATGTAAAACACAGTTTCAAAAAATATGAAGGGTGAAAATGCTTTCATTTTCAATATCAAACAATATGCCGTAGTTGCTCTTAAGCATCCTTGCCTAACTTGTATTCTTAGACAACAACT